GGATTTTTTTTTTTAGATTTAACAGTTCTAAAGGACTCAAAATCTTTAAACCTTTAATTACTTCAAATATTTTGAACACACCATGTTTCAATTATAATGATATTATATATGCAAATAAACACAAATATATATACATACAATGTATATGTGAATGAAAATCATTTTATTTCGTACAAAATTTAAATAATCTTACTCCAGAACCAAGGATCCATCTAAGATAAATCTTCCATCTAGAAGAATTTCTGCAATTAGAAATTAGATCCTCAAATATATATTCCCTGCCATAAATATAAATTATCATTTCAGGAGTTACTGTTCCTAGCAAGTGCAAATCTGTTTTCTCCTAATGAATGTAAAATATCACTATACGACTGTTTTATTACCCCGAGTGTTCTAAATCCTCCTTTTTAAATATATCTTGATAAACTTAACACCTCTTTCACCGCCTTGCAATCTTTCAGGCGTTTCTCATTTGTAATTTTCTTTTTAACCCATTCTAAGAGAAATGTTTTCAAGTTTACGGAGCGATTTATTTTTGAAACCTGATAGCCGATTTCATCCCATAAAAGTATTACATATTTGCACTTAAATATTTTTCTGTTGTAAATTTAGATACAACGTGGCTTAATTTTCTGTATATTAATGTCCTTCAGTGGTTTTCCAAAAACATAATTCTCACTCTTTATCACACTGGAAGGAAGTGACGTCAAAGTCTGTCATGCATGGTCATATCGTATACTTAGGGTTATTCGGGAATACATTTTTAATCGTGTCTGGGAGATACTGATTCAAATGAATTCAATCTTACAAGTGCGTGACTTACTCTAGTGGTATCGTGAGCACTAAGGTCACAAAATGATACCCCTTCTCCCATATGAGTATAATGACAGTGTCCATGCTTTGCGATGGCAAACCTCAAATATCTGTCCGATCAGAATATAAAATAAAAGATACTGAATGGAACTATCTAATAAAGATTCTTTGAAAGTCTGATTAAATTTTATTCATTGGTATAGGAGGAGTTGCAGATAAGAGATAATTACCCCAATATTATAGAAAGTATATAGCAGTGTCCAGATTTTGCTATGGGAAACCCCAAATATCTGTCCGATCAAAACGAAAAATCGGAAGTGCATAATATCAGCATGCAGTAAAGATTCTGTGAAAATTTCATGAAATTTATTTAGTGGTATAGTGAAAGTTGCGGATTAAAGATGCCTGGGTGCCTCCATGTTATAGAAAGAATGACAATGTCCATGTTTTGTAATGGCAAACCTAAAATACCTGTCCGTTCAAAACGAAAAATACGAGATGCGCAATGGCATTATGTAATAAAGATTCTGTAAAAGTATCACTAATTAAAATCTTATTCAGTGCGGATTAGAGATGGGTACCCCTTCCGGGCATCCCCCATATTATAGAAAGAATGGCAGTGTCCATGTATTGCTATGGAAAATCCCAAAATTCTGAAATTTCGAAAAATAAAATAGGAGGTTTGTGCACAATGGCACTATGTAATAAGGATTCTGTGAAAGTCTGATTAAATTTTATTCATTGGTGTAGGAGGAATTGCGGATAAGAGTTGAGTACCCCCCTCCCCAAACCCCCATCAATGTTATAGAAAGAATGACAGAGTCCATGTTTTGCGATGGGAAACCCCAAATATCTGTCTGATCGAAGAATAATACAGTAGGTGCACAATGGCACTATGTAATAAAGATTCTGTGAAAGTCTTATTAAAATTTTATTCAGTGGTATAGGAGGAGTTGCGGATAAGAGATGGATACCCTAAGTGTTACCGACGTACGGAAGGACGGACACCCCATCACTATACACTCCTACTTTTCAAGCGGGGTGTTGTGGGGGTGTATGTACCTTGAAGACTCAATGTCATATCTCAAAGTTCAATGTCACTGGGCATAAAGATGTCAAAATTATGATACATGTTCAACTCTCCATAGATCTGTATGTCGTTCACCTTTGATATCATTATGTTTATTCAACTGTTATTGTGAAGAGAAAGACTTAATTTCGTTTTCATAAACTAAAAAAAGATTTATTATACTGCATATCCAGAATTCTACGAAAGCCGGATGTGATTATTTTTTACAAGGTAGAAGAAATATTTAATTCGTTATAACGAGTTAACTAACTTGTTATAACGAATTATTTTTCTCGTTATAATGAGTTAGAATCTCGTTATAACTAGTTAGTTATTTCGTTAGTTATCTCGTCTTAGCGAGTTTGTATCTCGTTATAACGAGTTGGTGATTTTGAATTACTGATTATAATATCAGTCGAATTTAACTTAAAGTCAATTGATAAATGGTTGAAAATATATTTTGCGCCAGGATTAATTTATGATAAAGTCTCAATGTCTTGCTATCAATTATCAATTGATAAGTAAAGCAAATCTTAAGCAAACACATTAACACATTAGTTGCATGAAATACTTAGTAAATCGTTCCTTAAAATTGTTGAAGATTTGATAAAAATGAGAAAATTAAAAAAAAAAAAAATTTGATCTTTGTGTTAAAGTATGCAAATAAAATTATAAATAGAACAGTAACATAGAATATATAAAGTTTAACTTTCTCTGGTCTTCAAAAACCAGGTAGCATTTCTGATAACACGAGGATTTAAATAATCGACCCCCCCAAAATATTCATGTATAAATATATTGTTGTTTCAAACAATTTAATAAATTTCATGTTATTTTGACATCTTTTATTCTTAACACTAATTTAAAAAAAAAATGAATCAATCTAACTATTTTATAGCCATGGTTAAAACCATTAAAGGATAATTTCACTGCGTAGAACGATAAAATTGTTTTAAATTGTTGGAAGGGGATAATAACCGTTTACCACAATTTTTCAAAACATTCAATTAAGTGTATGGCAACATAATAGAAATTCCATGTTACTATTTTTATTTAGCTCAATAAAAGATGCTTTTCAGGTTTCATTCAATCACGTTTTTCAAAGAGCATAGAATTATAAAATTTTCATTGTATATTACAAGATTCTGAATTATACCCATTATAAAAGAAAGAAAAGACTTCATTTAGATTACAAAGGAATGCTAATAATACAGACATTCTTTGTTTCAGTTAAGACTTGCAAGACGAACTAGATTTATGAAAGCATTATTAACTGCGATAAAATAGAGATTTTTTAACCCTTCGATTCCTTTCAGGTTATTCCAGGATATTCCAAAATTTCATTGTGACCATGGCGATATATTCATGCGCAAAGGAGGGATACCATATTTTATAAAATAACACATTTACAGCATCTGTTCAAAAAAAAAATAATGCCACCACGAGGAAATGGCCAGGCTATCATGCTTGTGCAAGACATGAAAGTATGCCTTCGTGACAAAACTTTGAAGCTTTTACGATTGTCCATAGCATGAAGGGATACCACCTTTATTACCCTTATTACCCCCCCCCCCCCCAAAGGAGACCCATTTTTCGAAATTTTAAGGAATAGAACCCTCTCCGTGGGTCTTAAAGTATAATTGTGAATGAATTTCTTACTCTTCGTACTCAGTTTCATTCTTCAATTAAACAAACTCTTGTCTCTCACAAGTTAAAGAATTCTTGTCAAATAAACAATTAGCAATTAGGCTAGTAACAAGACAATCAGTCTTCAAATAACTTTTTATAAGTAGAGGTTCTGTAAGCACTGAGCTCACAAAATGATACCCCCGCTCCCATATGTGTATAATGGTAAAGTCCATTTTTTGCTATGGGAAACTCCAAATAGCTGTCTAGTCGAAATGCAAAATAAGAGGTGCACAATGGCATTATGTAAAGAAGATTCTGTGAAAGTCTAACTAAATTTTATTCATTGGTATAAAAGTTGTGAATAAGAGATGGATAAGCCTCCACCCTTTATGTTATAGAAAGAATGGCATTGTCCTTGTTTTGCTATGAGAAACCCTAAATATTTTTCCGATTGAAATGTAAAATAAGACGTGCACAATGGCATTATGTAATTGATTCTGTGAAAGTCTAATTAAAATTTATTCAGTGGTATATGAGGAGTTGCAGATAAAAGATGGGTACCCCAAAGTGTCACTGACAGAGGAAGGACTTTGGTTTACTAAAGTATCAAAGATTTTACTATAGTAATTCAACGTGTATTAACTATGGATTTCAGATTGTTATGTTTTAAGCCATACACTTAATTCATACACGCAATCTTAAATATTGAATGGAAATATTACTTGCACAGAAAATGTTCACACATTATTTCAATTCCGAATTTTACATCATTGGTATACTGGATTTACAGATTTTAAGCTTCGAAATCTCAAAAAAAGTTCTAGAGTCAAGTTTTATAGTAAATCAAAGTTTCAAAGTATTTACTATAGTTACACTGTATCTGTAGTAAACTATATAGTTAACTAGCAAATTTTTGTTGGGGAATGTAAGAACGGACATCCCCCGTCACTGTGTACCTCCTGTCGTTCAAGCGGGGGTATGTTCAAAATATGCACATTAAATCTATAGATTATTTTTTAAAAGAAATATTATTATGAAGAGGAATTGAATTATTGGTTACGATAAAAGCATTCTATATCTATAATTAGTGTGATGTACATATATAAAGTACACGGGGAAGGGTGTGTTCGTGTGTGTGTGAGTGTGATTTTCTAGATCATAATATTATTCAAAATATTTGTTAATGCTTATTTTCAGGAGTTGTAGACAAGAATTTGAAATTTTTTAATTCTTCCAATTCCTCAGATCCTTAAATCGACACGTTTTCACAATTAACCGATTTATTTTGAAAAAAAAATGTATTTTTCTCTTAGAGTTTTTGAATTGATATTCGTAATATTTGTTTCCCTTTCATATACCTCTGTCGACTATTGAACCCATTCTGGCATAACTATCGGAATGCAAGATCATGAGAAATTGGCTAACCTACTCCTACGCTGTCCAAAGGCAAATTCTCTTAGAATCTCGGTACCTGAATCAAATTGCTGCCAGATTAGAGGCATTTAGGTTTGGAAAGCGACAATACTGTAAATGCACCTTGATGTGTTTTGTGTGAATTGCACAGTTGGCAGCTCTGACAATTTACTCCCGTGTTACAGATGTTCCTAGCGTTTTTGGTGTGCATGGTTATGATATAGAACAATAAATTTCACGAAATATCTCAAAACTTGCGCCGCAATCGTCCCATTATGTTGCCATTACTCATCTACGTAAAATCAATGAAATGTTGTCAAATCTGAGGTATCACAGCTTGCTTTTTTAGATCTTGATTTAAAAAATAAAAGATAACTGATAGCGAGAAGGAAGTTAAATATTTTGTGTATCAGACTTGCTATTGCTCTCTGAGATTCACATGCTGGAACATTGCCGTCTCTCTCCGCTTTCGACCAAACCATGTGTTATTTTATCAATGCGGATAGCAGTCTAGGAGTTTTTGTAGAACTATATCGAAATCCCATTATATTATTTTAATAAGATATTGTTAATATGGCTGGATATAATAGATGTTTACAAAGTGCGACACATCGTCGGAAAACGGTGAAATTCGATTCCAGTATCCCGAGTTAAAATTCAGTCGGTGTGTATAGGACCGGAACATGCGACCCAAGTAATCGGGCTTTTTATCAAATCATCTTCTCAAAGATTGTGGCTTTTATTCAGGATTATCACACACTTTTCTTCCATGGATTTACAAAGTGGTGGAGTAATTTTACAGTCTTTGTTGAAATGAGTTAGCGACATTTGAAAAAAAAAAGATTCTGAAGGACTCGATTTCAAATATAGAAGAATAAACATGGAGAAAGGTAGGTCGGAGAGGACAATGAGAAGACTAGAGACGGACAAATGTCTGCGATGCTCTCTGTGGATGTTTTCAGGGATTGCCATATCCCTGATGGTGGTTTTATTGGGATTTACAATATGGACGTTAGTGTCCTATCAGAACACAGTTATCTCCCTTCAGTCAAGGGTGGACAAACTTGAAGTGGATTTAGAATTATTCAGATCGAACAGAGAGGATATAATTGCTACGAAAGTTGAAGAAGAAGTTTCTAAGGTACGTATTTTTGCTGTGATTTTCACGATTTCCATTGAGGCAATTTCAGAGAAATAAATTTCGTTCAAGAACCGCGAAGGAACGGTATAGAATTTGTTTGAAGCGATGTGGAGTAAATCTGATAAGAATCTATTCAGCAGACATATAAGCTTAGATATCCCCAATAACTGATGGATATATACATCATGTTAATTACCAGTACTTGAGTTATTCCGATACGGGATACTTGTGTGTTCGCCTGTTGGAGCCCGATATCAAATAGCTACTATAGTATATATATATAGTATATATATATATATATATATATATATATATATATATATATATATAGTATATATATATATATATATATATATATATATATATATATATATATATATATATATATATAGTATATAGTATATACTATAGTATACATCTTAAGACAGTGACCAATGCCTAGAATCAAAAAATCTAAAAATCTGCGACATATCAATTCTGCATCATCCAAATTAAAAATAAATAATGTAAATTAAATTTTTAAGTATGAAATATACATAAAAGCATTATTGTGTGTGTGTGTTTTGTTTTGTTTTGTTTTTTTTTTTTTGCTGATTTTGTTTCATTTTCCATGGGTTTGACAACACGGTCCGAGGATTAAGAAATTTTATACTAGTATTGTACCTATATACATGTTTGGTGTACATTAAAACAGATATATCAGGTGTCTTGACATTACACAAAGACAAAATATTTTGATTTTATTTTTCTAGAAATTGCAACTAGTAACGGCGCAGCTACCAAGTTTCTACACGCATTCCCAACCCCGTTATAAAAGACAGTCATGCACCTGTCGAGGTGAGTACTAATTAACCACCCACGCACGTTAGAGGTCAAGGTTGCAACCATAAAAACACCATTGATACACTGAGAGAGTTTGTCTCATGAATTGAATAAGGGTATCTCATTTGTAGAATAAATTTCCACACACTTAAAAATTTTCGGTTTTGGACAGAGACAAAATATGGTACAAAAATATGTATATCTGTGCACAATCTTGACATTGCTGATAGAATTGGGGGTCCAACTGTAAACACCCCCCTCTCTGTCTCAAACTGCCAGATACATGTATACAGGTATAACAAGGCAGGTAAGCTTTCAAAGTCCTAGCTTTGAGGAAACCTGACGTATTAACATTTTGCACTCCCATTTTCAAGGACAAGGTTGTAGGTAATGTCTTCTTTTCGTACGTGGCGTAATTTTGACGTAAAGATGAAGAAAGAAAAATGTCAACAACATTAGGATAAAAGTAGACATAAGAGTGTATATAAATTCAAGTGAAAGAGATTCTAATGTTCACTATGCTCTGGGTTGTTTCAACAAGGGTCTTGTTTACGTTAAGTAATTAGCCTCTACTGCGATTATGAGATAAGAACTGCGAATCTAATATATTGACTGCGACTTAAATCCAGATCCTCTTCAATTCGATTACATTGAAGAAGATAGTTTTTAGCTAACAGTTTATTATTAACTAATAATATTTATGAACGACCCCACAGAGCATCCACGCGCGCGATAACATCTCGTTCTCTTCACGTGTCCCGCGCTAACTAGAACTTCAATGTCGTCGAACCGTGACATGGTTAAGTTCTGCATGTCAAAGAAAACTTGTGTTGTGGATTATTCTGTTTAAAAAATGGGGAAGTTTGAACGTCTAATTAGGTCTGTAGACACTAATTAAATGCGCTTCCTGTGTTTAGGGTTTAAGCACTTTTAATCCGCTCTCCTAATTGAATAAACGCATTTTGGAAAAGTGCGAAATATTGTTTTTGCTTTTTGAGAAATTGCTTATTTTTTGCGTCTGCAAGACATAAGCAGAGAGAGAGAGGGAGAGAGAGAGAGAGTTGGTAGCCCGTTGTTGAGTTCTTTACTGAATACTCTGAACTTTTGCTACAGTGTAATAGGAAACGATTACAACCTCTTAGTAGCCCATAAACAAGACATGAACCTGTTTGAAACAGGTATCAAATTTGATCCCGGTAATTTGTGTTTACTTCATCTTATTTTACGAGATCTAATCACAACAGCACCTGCAGTTCTGTTCTATTGTGAAGACGACGTTCAATGTCTCCACGTAATTCAGGACTTGTAACCAAAGTACTGCTTAAACATTAAAAGTAGATTGCTTCCCAACTGGAAGTGAATAAAAAGAATAGCTTTAATTTCAATAGCATTGTAATCAAATTGTTATGGATACTTAGAATGATTTTGAACATTCCTTTGCTGTCATTTCCTTTGCGTTTATGTTTACATGTATGTTTCCCATCCTATGCTTTTCTGCGACGCTTACCAGAAATCTGCTTCTGATGCTTAACATTTCTCAACTATATGTACTGTATGACAATGTCTTAGTATGTCTGGTATTTCAATTGATTTTTTTGATATTCTATACACTCTATACGTAAAACGGGAAAGATAAAGGAAAAAAACAGAGATTTGGTCATTTGTTTGTCGTATTTTCAAAAAATTTAACTGTATCTGTTAATTTTCAAAAAAGGAACATTTTGATCATTCTTTTAATAATTCTGACAGGCTAATATATATAATTTTTGGAATTATATAAACCTAATTTTTGGAGTTAACCATGTTTTCCTTGTGTACTATGTAAGACAAGTAGACAATATCCTGATTTAGACTGGTCGAGGATAATGTCTAATTGATTCTTTCCAGTATCATATCCCTTCTGAAAACGAGGCTTGTTATTTACATGTATTCATTTGTACATATGGATACATTTATAGTTTATCATTTACCAACTTGAAACTTACTTTATATTTTAATTTTAATTATAAATAAGTATGCGATACCTTAAATGTATCCAAATTGTATAGATACTAGCTAGTAATCGGCTTCTATACTTTCGTTCAGTTGTAAATTTCGCACATTGTCTAATTTCACGAAGAAAACAACTTTGAAAACATCTCTTAAGGAAGTCCTGTTATGTTTAAAATGTCGTATAACTATTATAGATCTGAACTGTAATTGGCGTAAATAATTTGACAATATTAAATGGTTGTTTAAAGGGGCAAAACAACTTAAGATATGAATGTGAAAAGCCGTTAACCTTTCACCTAGAAACAAATGTGATGAATTCACTGTGTGAAGAACAGATGGTCCTTCTATATTAATCTTTGCTTTGTTTTCTATTTCTTGCCAATACATGGTTTGTAAATCTTCACAAGTAACCATCATTATTGATAAATAAAAAACTAATCTTTCATTTTTAGTATCAAAACCTAGAATGCGGGATTCCTTTGGTATTCTCCGCGCCCTAAGGTCGTACAAGGTCAGAAGTAAAAACGGACAAAACTGTCTGACAAAAACAACTAAAATACATAAATGATAAAAACTACCAGGGTCTGTTGTCGTTCTAGAGCAAAAATGAAAGCCAATGTCTCATTTAAAGTTGCTTTTATCAGGATGTAAAGGTGTTAAGTCAGTGGTAGCTATGCCGGACCACCTCTCAACGTGTTCGAAGTGAATTCTATTTTGATTGATGAGAAACCACTAAACTGCCTCTGGTATCAATAATCAACAAGAAACCGCCATGTTGTGACAAGAACGCGATAAAGAGGGCTCTGGTTTTGTAACCGAATACAGGTCCATGCATTACAATGAATACTGACAGATGAAGACGTGAAAGAATGTCTGAGTTAACGTTTGTCTTAGTGATACCAGTAGATTTTCTAAAGATGCTACTTATTTTTACATACTTGTTCGAAAACTGACAGGTCTGTTGAAATGTTTTGTTTTACAAATGAGAATGTTTGATAAGATGTATTTCATAGTTTTTCGATAATATTGTCAGTAGCTTTTTGAAGGATATAGATTTGGAAATAGTTAATAATTTTTATTGACATTACTGCAAAAGAAACTTTTGAAGAGCCTAGTTTGTTATTTTTTGCAAGATAACGATAGCAACTATAGATTTTAAAAAAATCTAAATATTAAAACATGAACATGGAAATATACATATTTCTATTTCCATTTTGTCTTATCACAACAAGTGAGCTATGTGATTTTTCAACCGCGACAATTTATGTTATTTGAAAATTTCATCGAAGAAAAAAATCCAAACGTTTTAAATAGCATAAAGAATGTCGAGTGACATATCCCATCTATATTTTGTGGACGACGAAAGAATTAAGAGGTTAATGTTTTCGAACATATTTCAGGTTTCTATTTCTAAACCACTTCGACATTAAGTTTAATATTTATGAATTAAAAAAAAAAACTTGGAAATTCCTTTAACTACGATGAAAAACCTCAAATGTTCTTTGCATCATCAAAGATATATCTGGTTACTTTTAAGATACATTTTTAATACAATCGATTATACGTGATTTTTTGAAACTTTAACAGTCATGATAGATTTCAAAGAATCTTCCTCTGGGGGCATTTTATCGCTCAAAACTGTTTAAATGTAAAAAAAAAAAAAAATAGGAGGAAAAAAAAAACAATCAACGAAACAAACAAATAAAAAAAATTACTTTATTTTCATGTTGAGTAGTCAGCATTAAGTGCATAATTAGAAATTACAAATACATTTGTATAACTGTAGCAGTTCTTTTACATTTCATCTATTGTTGAGATACATGTAAATAAAGTTGAACAAGTATCTATATGTATTTACCTTTCTACAGTATCGACCATGTTTGTGGTTTCAGTTAAGAATAAGTTGAAAACAAAACCATCATTACATAACCAATATCATTTATAAGAAAGAGCTTTAATAAAGATTATAATGAATTTAATTTGAACACTTGATCAAATTTCATTCCTTGCAGTACAATAAAAGTATGGAAAAATAGATCATAATAGATGAAAATATAATCTATCATTAAGTCATATGCTGACTGACGTTTTTCATACTAATTGTTAGGAAATTATTTACACAATGAATTTTCGGCGGATTTTTCCGTTATTGATCATGACAAGGAGCGCAGGCGCGTGTGACCGGTCGGCAGGGGATGCTCACTCCTCCATGACACCTGATCCCACCTTTGATCTTTTTTTGGAGGTCCGTGTTTTCTCTGCTCCCGATTTATACTGTTTTAATGGACTTTAAGCTTGAATACTATTCGTTATCTCCATATTTCATGAATTTGTTTTGAATACCAGCTTTGCTTTATAAGCCAGACAAAATAAGACCAATGTTCTATAACATAGAATTTTTATATCATAGAAACGTTCTTTTTAAAATAACAACATAGACATTTTTTTGATTGCTTTGGCAGAGAATGTAGACGCTTTTCAAATCGCCGGACCAGAAGCTCCTTCTTATAGTGAAAACCATGACTGAAGAATTAACAACATGATAAACCTAAGTAATACCCCTTATTACGCGTGATTGGTTCATGCTCAAAACAATTGAAATAAAGTTTACCTACTGGTAACATATGTCTTATTAAAATACGGGAAATGGAGGGTCTGGATGAAATCTTCTCCAAATCTTAAATTGTTCTGTGGTAGATCCCAATTACATAAATATAAAGACTGCATGTTATCTGGGATTGGAATTAAATGCACGGTAGATAGTCTGTGATGAATTTTTACTTAAGGTATACAAGATTCATATACAGAGCATGAAAAGTCTGAGAACTTATATATATTCATCAAAATCTTTGAAAAACAAGTTCAGTCCGTTTTTTTAAAGGTCGTGGGATTGAAAAAAAAGTGCTTGAATGTCATACTTCTTATTGTTAACTCTTCCAGTTTGTTAAAAGGAAATATATTTTGATACTTCATGTTTCAATTTTCTGTATAGTTTACGGATTTTGAAATAATTTGGTTTGGTAAACAACTTTGATAAGCTTATGGTCTAGTGTGGGAAAATTGGGTGACATCTTTAAAATCATTCAGTTTTGATTTATTTTTTTTACAATACGAACTACATGTGTTAGTAAAAGATACGCTTATAAACTGGCAAATCAAATATTATAAACTGGCAAATGAAATAGACAAACTAACGCAGCATATCAACTGAATACTAGTCCTATTCCAAAGAATGTCTGTCTAACATTTGAGATAAACACAGCAGAACGATCCAGAACTGTTGAAGATAACAAAACTATTTTTTGTCCAAAGGTGTAATAATTTAACAAAGAAGCACAATATAATTACTGGGTAGGACATTTAAGTACACTATATCTATCTTTGTTTTTATACACTTCTCAGTATTTATGATCACAGAAGCAATGGATGATTACATCAGAAGCAAGTGCAAAAACACTCCCCCTTAAAATCTCATCAACAGGTGCGCGTGGCGTAGCATCCCGTGATAAAACGAAAATGGAAGCACCGTGACGCGTGCGCTTTTGATATGTGTTCATTGAAGAAATGATGTTCCTTAATTTTGTGAATGAAGTCAAATAAGCTTGTGATCATCTAAATGTGAAATTCTGTCTAGTCTTTCACAAACTTAATGGTATGTCTCAGTCAGTTGGATTTTTTGAAGCAATAGAATTGAAGAATTTATTTCTTAAATCAAAGTTTTAGAATTCACTGCAATTCAAACTACCAACAACCATCTTTATGCAAAATTCATATGCCTAAATTTTATGACTTTAATTCAAGAAGTAAAACAGAATTTAAAACTACCTATAAAAATCTTAAATTCGTTGAATTTTAAATCTTAAATGTCAGATAGGTTGTCTTTCCAGTTGTGTCGCCGGGGCCATCTCTGCCTCGCAGTAGCAAAAGTTCTACCAGTAAATCTTTGGTTCTTTTCTTTTAAATCTTTTTTTTTAATTAAGGGGAAGCATGGACTATGAAAGCTTTACTTGTTAATTCAGTGTTCGGTCCAAAGTCCCGAATATCCAGCAAGATCTTTTTAAAATCCGTCCCTCCCAAAGATGCCATTATTATGATTATTTACATGTATCTATGTTCTGAGTCATGGGCAAAAGTTTTAAACCAAACTAGAATAAAAAATTAATGGTAAAAAAAACCCCACTAAGATTTCTAAAGAAATTCAGTGATCTTAAGTGGATAAAACAATCAATGACCTCTGTGATTGCCTATTCTATTGAAATAAATATTTCAAAAATATTTCAGCAAATACAATTGTTTTCAGATCTATGGCAGTTGCTTTCACTTATTTATTTTAAAAAAAATATGAATGTCAAGTAATTTATAAAGACACAAATGAAATGTGATTTAATAAAAGTCTCTAGAAAAGACACAAGATGTGAAAAACATGATTTCAACAGCAAAAAGCATCTGATATTTATGCGATGTAAACGAATGTTTTATAATATACTATGTTCTACAAATTTTACAATTCATACACAATGTGTTGTAAATTTGTCAAAACAATGTAGGAATGTGCTTGAAAGCATACCATTAATGCTTGTTCATTTGAGTTCCAGCCCTTTCATAATAAGGAAGAGCTGTGTTTCAGTCGGAGAGGCGGATGCGGAATCTCGGGATAGTCTTTATATTCAATTTCGCTTAATGTTCGTTAACCTTTAGAATTTATGCTGGCAACGTTCTATAACTTCTCTCAAAGAATTTTGACATCCTTTGCAGTATATTTAACTTGTAATAAAGTATTTCTCGGAAAATATACATTTAACATCGAAAATAGAAGAATGCTAAACTAATAAAGTATACTAGTAGTTCTTTTACACTTTATGCCTATGATTATGTAACAGATTATGAAACTATATAGATGACGTATATGTGATGTCTGTGGGAATATGAGTGTCTACTTGTCAGCTTTGACCATGACGTCATTGCAGAATACTGAAGAGCAATACTCTTACAAATGAGTTTGTTCACATCTGTCTTTTCTGATTTTCGTCTAATTTAAAAAAAAAATGATGAAGAATGATTCACTTAATACATTCTTTTCTTTTCTTTTTTTTTAAAGATGTTTATAGGATTCATTCGATGCATTAATATATATAGTTTTATATAATAACTAGATAAAGATATTCTAAAATGATCATCTGTTTATCCACTTAAGAGAACTGAATTTCTAAATAAATTGAAAAGCGTTTTGAAAAGCATAAAAATTATAGATACGTATTCCTTTACAGGTCAGAAAGGCGAGAAGGTAACTATTATTTTTGTTGTGCTTTACTTCAATAAAAAATGAATATGAATAAAGAAAATTGGAAGAATATTACATTATACCAATTGTACATAACATGATGTGTTTCAGGGAGACAGTGGTTTTCCGGTATTGTTAAAAATCGATATTTTCTTTTCTTCTATCTTATTTTACGAGATCATATAAAAACTAACAATTTCCACTAAAATTTTCTGGAGAGTTGGTTATATTAGCTTCTTTATTGCCTTTAACTTTCTTTCCAAAGGATATATAATTGATATATTTAATGAATTTCGTATTAATTAAAATACGATAAATAACAATTTTATCTCCCTGTTTGTGGTAGATTGTGGGAATAATAAATGCTTTAGTTTATCTATAAGATGTACCTGCTTTCAGTTATCACAAAGGTAGTTTCAAACTAATTCATCATAATTAAAATTTAGTATTTAGCCTCATTAAAACCAACAAGTCTAGATAATTACTTTAGTTCAAGGTTGTCTTGTTAATTTCTCTAGTGCAAATTACTCGCGTTTCTCTTAAAACTAGACGGCAATATTTTTTTTCGAGTAATCCAATTTCCTTTTCTCGGGCTTATGCCTCCCATGTTGAAAAAAGGATTAATACATTCATTTCACGCCAGCTCTCTAAGGGGGTACTCCAATATTCCTCGGGTAGCGCATGTTTAAACGTCACTTTCCCGGATCTGCGGTTTCTCAATGCATTATTGCAGTCAGCTGCAGACGCAGTTAACATGGAATAAATGTACTCCTGATTGGCCTGCTGCAATTGTGTCTGTTTGATGAGGCATAATGATGTATAGATGAAGGTGCCTAGAGTTTGACAAATGTCTTTATTCTGTTTCAAATGCACGAAACATAAAACAGATAACCATTTAAAAGAAAGTGATCGCTGAAAGTAGTGCTGCAATTTGTTAAATGATGGATATTTCGGAAAAGTGCACATACATGCACATACGTTAATCTGCAGGGATATAGCTTATCCAAAAAAAAGGTCATATGTTATATTTCAAGATGGGTTTAAATGCAGTTTAATTAACTTCAAATGAAAGGACTGAAAGAATTTAAAGAACACAGTTATGAAAAGTAACTAGATGTTGATATACTAATAAATGCACGTATCATCGTTTTGATATTTGGGAATTAAAATACATGGAAATTTTGCAGTGTGTTTGAGCCTATCGTTTTATGCAATAATATTTATCGTTTAGATAAAACCATTTTTAATTTAGTAATTAATTATTTTTGGATTAGTAGTTAGTCATTTGGTTGAATTAATAATTAGTCATCATTGAATTAGAAGGCAGTCATTTTGGGTATATTTTTCAGGGACCTAAAGGTGATATCGGCTACCCAGGGTTTCCGGTCCGTTTGAATTTTACATCAAAATTATCATTTAAAGCACAGTAATTAAACTGTTACATGTACTCGACACAAATAAAACCAGCATGACTTGAAAAACGTCACAAAAAACGGAATGATAAATTATTGCATAACTTTGGATCACCAAATAATACTCGATTTTTTTTTTGAATTACTTCTTAAATGATTTTCGATTTTTTTTTTTTAAATTAAAATGTTCAGTGTGTGTTTGTTGACTATGAGAAATAAAGAAACACTAATAACATAAAAAAACCACTGCTAATACTTATCTTATACTTATCTCATAATAAATGCTTCTAAAACGCTTCTCATTATTTAACTTTTAAGTTCAAATTCATTAACATACAGAAGCACGATTTTCTTACCCTTTTTGGGGAGTGTATTATAATCTCTAACCCAGCTCCTTATAACACTGGTAACATATCATTTGTTATTAATCCTAACAGATGCTACATGTATGTAAAATAAATTAATAAAATGTATTTTTAGAAAGTTGTCAAAGATTAGGCAATAGTTTTCTTGCAAGAGTATAAAAGTCTTTAATATTTCTAATAAGTAGTTTTTCAAAGGTTATAAAATTTCAATTCTGTTATTTTAATTTCTAATAAATATGTGTATTGGTTAAAATTAACATAGACAATCATAATGGCATGTTCAGCTAATACGATATATAAAATTCACCATTTCTGAAACGTCATTGAATCCTTATTTGTTGCAGGGTTCCATGGGACAAACAGGACCAAAGGTAGATAACTCTACAGATTAATCTTTATCAAATGCAGTGTTTCGGGTTTTTGCATTATTTAGTGTATTTTAATTATTTATTTATTTTGTTCACAAAACATTATTTACCAGTATTTGATGATGCTTACATAGCATTAATATCTTGTTTATTTTGACCTCAGGGTAATACTGGTGAACCGGGTCCTCAGGGACCAAAGGTAAGGCAAAATTTCTTATTTAAATTTTTGAAAAATTTTATAAATTTTACTCGAATCACATCAGTACGGATTATTGTGTTTCAGGGAGAAAAAGGAGACAAGGGTAATGAGGGTTTACCTGGATATGATGGAGCGCCAGGACCAAAGGTAAAAAACAAATCTCTATTTCTGTCTGAACTTCGTGTTTCAGATCAATTGAATTACTTTTAGACAAATCAGAATGAGATGTATATGATAATTCGGTTATTTGTTAATGTGTTTTTATTTGATATTAAGGATAATTCGTAACATAGATGCATTATCGCAGAATCTTTAATCTCCCTTTGAACTATCTTGTAACCCGAAGGATTATAATTGATATAATACTTCTGTTCTTAGCAGGGATTTCTAAGCAATCTGGCAATCATGAAATGCTTTAGAGGCATTTGAAGTATTATACCATATCATTCTACTTTACATCAAGTTTATTGTGACAATGTGATTTTATTCTACAGGGGGTTAAAAGGTCAATTCGATTCCAAGACGAAACGTTCCGAAATATAGTAGACCTTAAGGTATCAAAATCATGAGACAAAAAAAAAAAAAAAAATCGCAGTAAATATAAAGCACTCTGAAATTCTTGAAAATTATAATTGAAGTCTCACGTCAACAAAATTTGACGTAATACGTTTCCGGTTTTATTAGGGGGCGTCTTACGAAGTTATTACTATCAAGGTCGGTACCCTGCATGTTAATTCTACTCAGTATTTTGCGCATGCCCTGAGAACTGCTTAATGTAAAATTAGTTCTTCTTGCAGGAGGAAGCGCATGCCACAAATGTATTTGCATTGCATTGTTTTGTCACATTTCAATAAGCATTGTCAATTTCAGTTAGTTCAAGTGGTTTTTTTCCTTAATGCATTACACTGTAGACCAAATTAATAGTTTTAGAAATGAAGACTTCAGCCAAAGTGTTTTAAAACTGCTTATTGGCATGCAATTGAATAATAATAATAAAAAACTAAAAAATGAATTGTTAGGAGAAAAAAAATCTGCATGTATTGTACAGTCAATCTTTAGGAACATATGTTTGAAGAATTATGATAAACACAAAGTCATGAAAGTATTTGGTCTTTGTGAAAACTTGATATTATTTGGAGAGAAACTTTAACATCAAGGAAAAACAAAACATAATCAAAATAACAAAGTTTGTTTAGTCAGTAAACAACTGTTGTTTTGGGAAACAACTGTAAAATAATCAAGTTCTGATGATGTGTGATGAGTATCTTAAACCGCAAAGTTACGCAAACTCAAAATACGAGATCTCTACGCACACACACTTTTGTCTCAGTATACAGACAGTTTCATTGTTGTTATATACTTATACACCAGAGTCTGACTTTGTATTCTTTAACACAAAATGAACAGACAACCAAATAAAAAAAAAACAAGGGGATATATATATATATATATATATATATATATATATATATATATATATATATATATATATATATATATATATATATATATATATATATATAAATGTATGTATGTATAAACGTAAACACTCAAACAAAGGTGAAAAAATGAATTCCCTCCAATGAAAAACAACAAACCAAGCAAACAGAGAGCAAAACAGAATTGGAAAAACAAACAAGAAGGAAAACAAATGCATGCATCAGTATTGCATGCATTAATATAGTAAAACAGCGCATTATGAAATTTTTTTTTTAATGGAATTATTAGGTACTAGTATTTAATAATGGTGTTGTATGAATGCATGAATGAAGCATGTTCCTCCTTGAAGGGTGACCGCGGACCGAAGGGTGTACCCAGTTTCGTTCCAGAAGAGGCAGAACGTCAGCTCGAGATTCTCAAGGTAGTGTTGGAGGATTTTTTTTTTTACTTTCGATGGCAGTTCTTAATACGATGAAATGTAATGCCCATGTGTACTGTTTTATATCCGGAATTATTTAATTATGTATTGATTTGGCTTGCTAATTCCCAAAACATGCACATGGTGACACTGTATTTTAGGAAGTAGTCTCCTAAACCAGGAACAAAAACTCTAACTGAAAATTATTGTTTATTGGATCGAACTATCTTAAAACTATATTTTCTGTAGTGTAATGAATCCAGGCATCTCTTCCTTCACTTGTAGAAAATGTGTCAGAAGTATTTTTTTTTTCAAATTCAGCATTTCCTCTCGTTATCTGCTTGGAGAAATATGGCTGAGGAGAAAATTAAAAAAAATCCAAAGTGTAATTTGCTTTTATTCCTGAAATAAATACTGCAACCAATTTTTCTTAATCTTTTAATTTCAATCCTGAACGGAAGCTCGTTAGTTACCCAAGATCTTACCTGTGTATTAAGTTCGATTTCAATTAAGTGCTGTATACAGAAGTAAAAAGAAGGAGCTCATGCATCTCGATTCAGAGAGCACGTTATTGCCTGTTTGTTATAGTTCACACAGTACTCAGTATGTAAACTACATGTTGGTAGATGGATACCTTGTGTTCTGTGTTCCCGATGCATGTGCATGTGTGATTTAAGATGAATGAAAACTGAATAAATATAAATTATTGTATTTGTACTTGTATTTGTATATCTTTGATCTTTGTTTATGATACATGTATTAAGAATCAATGCTCATTTTGAAACAATCTCCATCAGAACTATTTGATTTTTGATGTAATATATTGAGTCATCTGAAAAAAAGACGAAGGTTAAAAACAAGCCCTTAATCTCCCTTAATCTTTATAGACAGATTACAACAGTATATTGTAATTCATGTTTCAAAAAAGACCACGGAACAACATATCTGTGAAGAGTTTAGGCTTATGAATATTTTGTGAACTGTATTCAGGGAGAACCAGGAGAGAAAGGCGCCAAGGGGCTTCAGGGCGATCCAGGTGCACCAGGACCGAAGGGGGATACAGGGTTACCCGGATTTGATGGGTTACCTGGACCAGCCGGACCACAGGTGGATATATTCTTTTGCAGAAAATCTTAATTTTTTGTCCCAGGTCATGCTGTGCATCACTAACATTGTCAAGTTCTAGCTTGCAGTGCTGCTAGAAAAGCTTAAAGATTTTTTTTTCATTTCTGTGTAAAAACTCTTTGCCCCATTTTTGCATGGTCTCATCTCTGCACAGGCATTTTATTTTTTAATTTGTTCTCCCTCTCAATAGTTCAGTCAATATTTATTAAACTTGTGCTAAAATTTACTCACTTTATGAGTAAAATATTAAGACGAAGTATGCATAGATAGAAATTTGTTGATGTCTTTGATTTTTTGCATGTTTATTACGTAATGGACAAATATTGTGCCACTTATTTCCATTCTCCTAAAGCAGGTCAGAATAACTTTTACCCATTTCCCCTGTTAATCTGTATTGGGGTATCTTTGTTACAGGGACCTCCTGGGCCGAAGGGCGATCGAGTAAGTAGATTCTTGAGTGTATGACATGGTATCTGGATTGTGTGATAGAATCACTGAGGCTGAGGTAGAGTTATTTATTTCTTCATTTGTAGGGTGTTCCGGGCAATCCGGGAGTACCGGTAAGAATTTAATCACATTTTCCATTGGATTAAAAGGAGGAAAATCTTCTAAGTTGCTATGTCTCGCCGTTTTAAGATTTGTTAAGAAATTAAAAAGTCCTAAAGCTTTAAATTAAAATTAAATATAAAAAATACATCTATATTTTATTAAAGCTGATTGGCTTTCAAAATGGAGTAGGATTAAAAAGGTCAATAGCTTACAATTAATGATTATCAATAACTTTATGGTAAATAATTGAAGTGTGAAGGTGGCAGGTTCAATTGTTATTCTCTTTCAAACCGAACATATCCTTATGTTAGGGCATGATGGGATCGAAGGGGGTTCAAGGTCTCCCTGGTAGAGGCGACCCAGGACCTCCAGGTCCTCAAGGTCAGCAAGTAAGTCTCGGAGCATGCGCAATTGCATGACGTCATTCATGTTGAGTTGCTTGGCGTCAAGAAGTGTGATCCGGTAGTTTTGAATACAAAGTGTGCATTGATGTACTAAAACGTAAACTACATTTAGATTCGGTCATGAGCATGGAGATGGGACACCTTATATGCATGTCTGATACACTGTGGGCCAAATCATGATTCCTAAATTTTAGAGTTGAGGTACAGTTCAAATGAAATTTATTTCAGGTAGCTGGTCTCATGTTATCTGTACCCAATTCAAGGGGTTATCCCGCAGGGTATATAAAGGGAGAGAAAGGGGATATAGGACCACGGGTGAGCTTATTCATCCTGTGATGGTCTCACTAGGTTACTAATCAGCTTTTACTGGAAATTTTGCGCTGCAGTAACTGTACCTTGTTTATGCAGCAATATTTGAAAAATCAAGATGACTGCAGCAAATACAAAATAATCAATAAATAACGCTGCTTAACTCTCAAAATTGTCTGCCTTAAGCGCCACTCGAGAACATGTCGCATGGAGGTGTTGTCCAGCGCTGTAAAATCGGGAGATCCATCCACTCCTGACTCAAATGACGGAGAAGATCAATTGCGTCAGAGACGATCACGAAATCGAGGCTGTTCCAACAGACGGCGCTCAAGAAGGAGGCAATTAGAGGAGGTATTCGGTGGCTATCCTTGGTGGCGGGAAAATTGAAAGTTGCTTTTTCTGCATGTTCATGTATTTGCTGCAGTCCAATAACTTATTATATCAACTAACATCTTTTCAGCTTGCAGAAGGTTTGTATTTGCAGTAATGTGTTTGCAATTTTAACACTTGAAATTTTACATTTTGTTCATATATCTCACATACTTCTGATTATATCTAGGTAACTGTTATATAATCCTCTAACATACACCATTATGGCAATACGCCGTTGAAAGTTGCAAAATTATGTAAATTTTGTTCATGTCATTCAATAAAAAACATAAAGCTCTATGTAACATAAAGAATTTGTTCATCATGAAGGGTGAAATAGGACTTCCGGGATTACCAGGCGTCAGAGGTCAAAAGGGCGACAGAGGAAGACGTGGCAAAAAGGTAAAACAGTCTCAGATTGGTGCAGATGTACGCCCTGCTAATAGAAACACGAATGAATAGTTAAACAAAAGATCACAGCCTAGATGTACAGTGGTCAGCATGTTGTTTTTGTTATGTTGAGCATGTGTTATATTTATGGATAGTTTTGTTTTTCTGTAGCTATCACAGAAGATGTCGCACAAGTTCAATTTCAGATTTAGTGAGTATTTCAATCAACTGAAGAACATACTTGCTTTACTTGAACTCTATCACCGTACATAGAACATCATTTTAAAAACTTTCTAACTATATGAGTGAAAGAAATTCTTTTTTCTAAGTTTATTGTTTTCTAAAGAAATCTTTGCTCCCTTCATTCCTGGGTGCAAATATTTTGTCAAGGACAATCGCAAACAGCATGAAAATAAAATAACATAAAGCCTGAGATTTAATACTAGTGCTTCCTCTTTATAACACACCATTTTGTCAGCTTTAAGGTTTGTGTTTTTTGAGAAATTTGTTTCAATTACGTGTAGTCCTGTCTTATCAATATATTTTGTTATAATTTTTTGGTACACAATTAAAGAACTCGAAATTATAAATATTTACAAGTTTTTTTTTGCATGAACACGTTGCGCATGTACAAAAATAAATTGAATATGAACAGTTTTTTAAAAATAGGATTTTTAGTTCAAATAGCAACTGAAACAATATAAAAAAAGTTTTTAAAAATTTTCTCTGACAAAAATATATTCGTTGTTTTTCTTATGGTTTTACATTTGGTATATATTGACTTTTAATGAGAATATAAGGAATTTAAATGTTCTTCAATTTATTTGCTTGTAAATCTTTACATAGTACACATAGTATTGTTATCGGTGGATGTGGATATATTAAGAGGGGCTTCACACTAAAGTGGTTAATACTGCAAGATTTGAAAATATCTCTGCATATAACCATTCAGTTGAATGAGTTAATATTTTTTTCTTTTACTTATCGTTTAATTTATATAATAAAATATTTTTTTTCCCACGATAAGGGTAAGCGAGGAAAACGAGGCATAGGGAGACCAGGACCACGGGGTCTTCTGGGTAAAAGAGGACTTCCGGGTGAGAAAGGTGCCAAGGGAGATAAAGGGGCACCAGGGGAACAGGTAGGATGATTTTTTTATGTATTACAAAGAAAAGATTTGAGAGCGAAATTGAATTCTGAAAAAAGTATTTGAATTCCATTTTAAAGAAATATTTAACGTTTTTGAGAAAATGGTTATATCACATCGATATGAATATTTGATAATTTAGAGATTAAAAAAATCTGGTATATTTGCTTAGTAAATGTATTCTGTACCCATATATAAGAAAATTGACAGTGCTTTGATGATGTTGGCTGTTGACACATAATGGTAGATTAACTTTCACCTTTATTCTACCTGGGCATTTGACATGCGTTTCCTTTATTACGTCAGGGCGAGCGAGGATTGGGCATTCCTGGAAAAGATGGAAGACCCGGCATCAGAGGCGTTCCTGTAAGTTTGGCAAATGAACTTTTTATTTCTCATAGTTTGTTAAACACAGTTACACTTATTTTTATTATAGTCAGAGTTTAAAAGCACCAAGATTCCGAATGGTTTGCCTCTACCCAAACATTTTCTGGCGAGGAGAGATTTTTAAAACATTAGGGTGTCTCATCTAAGTTCTTGATGACTGTGGGGAAGACTTACTTCAACTTTTTAATTTTACCAGCTGTTTTGATGATTTATTTCTCTTGTGCGTTATATAATATTATATCATAGAACTGTAATTGAAGTCCAAACCTATGTCTTATTTCCTGTATTTTACAGTCTTCGGACTATGCACTTCCTCTCTTTTGTGATTGGTAGAAAATGCATGATGTGAAAATTTTCAATTATTATTTATTGGTTGAAATGCTGTTCAAGGCAAGGGAGATAATTTTCAGGTGATCTAATTTTCGTACGACTTAACAATTTTTCAAAATGTTTAATCTTTAAAAAATCGTCAAAATGAACAAAAGAAAAAATTGCAATAAATAAAAATGATGCTTTATTTTTTTTATAGCAACTATTAAAAAGTTTTTCTGTATTAGTCACATACATAATCAGAAATGTTCTTTTTGCAGGCAAACATTAAAATTTGTATTTATTCTTTTTCTTTCTTTTGCACTGTCTTTCGTATGATAGGGCTAATGTCTATACATGTAATACAGCTTGATAGAAGTATATCAGTATACTGTTTGAGGTTGTTTTGCTAAGACGACAAAACGTTTTAAAAAAATATATACTTCTTTTAGTTATTTTAGTCAAAGATTAGACGATATTATTTGGCTTCATCTGTTGGTCCAATCATAAGTGCAAAATTTGGTTTTCAAAATATACTATTTTTTACTTACAGCTTTTGTCTTACTGTAGACGTTGTTCAAATTTACATTTTATCCAAATTTGTAAGATAATGTCGATGATTGATGCTGATAACCTTAAAATAAAATATGCTTGACGATGTCTATTTGGTCCTCCGTTATTGCCTGGCGCCACGAGCGTCAGTCAGGTTAAGGATAATTTTTCCATGGTTTGAAACTAAGAGTTGAAAGTAGTCAGCTTAACTTTGTACAAGCAAATTTACATCAGAAAATTGTTATTTGCATTTTAATAACAAAGCAGAAGGAACAATAATATTACTGAGGCAAAATGTTGACGAGTTGACCTCCTTTAGAAATTTTTGCATGCAACTGTTTATTTCATACAATTCCCTATACGGATATCAGTGTAACCTTTCTTCTGCGTTTCAGTCCACTTGTCTTCTACGAAAGGGGTGACACAATCATTTCGCGCCAAATGTTCCCGCCTTTTCCTTTGAATGCCTGTTCTTTTGTATGGGTGTGATGACTTCTATGAAATAAAATATTTGTTCGTATAAGCGGATTCTCGAGCTTTAACAACTTAATTCATCACAGAGTTTATAGAACATATCGTATATGGGCAGGTAACACAAAAGCAAGGAATTTGTTAATTTTTCCTAGTTATTTTGTTTTCCTATTTATCTCCAAAATGGATGAGTCCGATTGAATACGCATTTTGGACAGTATTATATATTTCATTCGTTTTTTTTTTTTTTTAATTTTCTTACCCTAGTTTTAATTTAAAGCAATTAAACAATCTTCAATATAATGTCATCATTAACTTCTTTCAAGTGTTATGTACATGGAAGTACATACTTTAGTATTCCACTTGTGGTCCCGTTGTTTTCGTATGCATTGATATGTACTTTAAAATACAGGCAAAACATATATTATATTCACCTGAATTTATTCACTTTCCATTGTTTAAAAGAGTCGGACAGTAGTTATATATTTCAAAAGAAACTTTTTTTGTCGAAATCCTCTCATGGGAAGTTTTCAAAATGTACGGTAACGAAACATTTCTCATCCAAATACTGTTCTCCCTGCCGTGGAACGACGTTTCGCACTATGACGGTTAACAATTTGCATCCGTAAAAAATTATTTCTTTCAACTTCATTAAACAGTTTTTAAATTAAAACGGTTTTATTTTTCCTTTTCTGTTCAATGATATGATATGAAACAGGCATTGGAGCGAAACGTTCTTCACTTTATAAGTACTATAGATAATGATTGCTTTAGTCAGTCAGGCAAGCTTTTTGAAAAGCTGTTACTTGTTAAAACTATGTTTTGTACTAATTTACTTTTGTATACTTGATCCCATCTCTGGAATTTCTTTTTAATGCTCTGTTCAGATTTTACTGCTCGTAGGTTTTTAGAGATCGATCACTCTTTATCCATTTCATTGATGATACAAGGATATCAACAGTCTCGTTTAAAGTCAACATTTTGCAAATTCTATGGTCTATACAATGACCTTGTTCGCAAATAGAATCTAACGTTATGTGTTGACTTTAATTTATACAAATTGTTTGCCATTAATTTCACACTGAATTGTCTACAGATTTGTCCGTTAACCCGATCATGACAAGGGGCAAACGGCGAGTGTGACCGGGGATGCTTACTCTTCCATGGCACCTGATCCCACCTCTGTTTTCAGAGGTCCGCTCACAATTTGTATTCAATTTGTTTGTTGGCTCTGCTCACAATTTGTATTGTTTAAATTAACTTCTTAGCACTGTTCGTTATCTTCACATTTCATGACTGTGTATTTGATGTTACTACATTTATGATACTAGTAATATCTATTTTCTGAGATACTTTTTCTCTATAGAGAATGAGCAAAGATATAAAAGATACTCTCCGTTTTTTAGGGAGAGAAAGGCGACATGGGAGATGAGGGCCCTGAGGGACCCCCAGGACGTGAAGGACAGATAGGTCCTCCTGGCCTTCCGGGCCCCCCAGTAAGCACTGCGAGGAAATGTGTTATAACTTATAACCTTATCAAACTTTGATTAAGTTTATGAAATAGACCATTTCATGCAAACATAAAACAAATACCACTACCTGAATTTCCTTCGCCTTCTATTATCTGTTTTTGGTTAAAATACATGATTATTTGTAAAAGAATGACAAAACAGACAGCGTGTAAATGTGTCACGGTATTTCTGAAGATACAGTTGTTTACATTTTGTATTATAGGGTGATACAAGTATAATAAACAGCGCAGACTTAAAAGGAGTTAGTCGAGTTGTAAGTTTTTACATCTGTTGCATTTGTGTTACATCAATTCTAAACCACGTTAGTTTATTTTTAAATTCTAGATCAATACAAATAATTTTTCTTCTTTTTTTCAGATTCCAGGACCCCCAGGCCCCCCTGGTCCACAGGCAAAATTCATTATTTAACTGATATATCTTATTCGTAACAACACAGAAACTTTATTTAAAACTTGTTTCCATTAAAATAAATACAAAATATTGTTTTAAATATATAGATATCTTGAATATCGTCCATTTCATACAGGGTCCAGCAGGTCTACAAGGAAGACCAGGAATTAAGGTGAGCATCACGATCATTACAGGTGTAACAATAATCATTACAGGTGTAACAATAATCCAAACCAAACATTTCAATAGAAGTGTAAATCCAAGCAGATTCAATGGAATTCAACGTGTTTGAAGAAATTTCTTTGTCTTCATTTTAGGGCGAAAAAGGTCCCGTTGGTCCTAAAGGAGAAATGGTTGGTAGTAATTTATAATGTCTTATTCATTAATTAAATTAACCTGTTTATGTCTTCGATTGGTATAAGTACATGTATACACTTTCTTGAAATTCTCTCTTTTGTCTGAAAGAACAATAATGGCAGTACCAAATGAAAACATGAATTTGTCTTTCCATCTATAATATTTTAACTTTCAATGCTTGTCTGACATTATTAATCTTCGCTTCATCATAGGGTGAAAAGGGGGAGGAAGGACAGATGGGACCAATGGGTTTACCTGTAAGTTCTCTTTGTTTGAAGATGTCTATTTTAAAGTGAATTGTAGATTCATGCATTGATAAACGTATGTAAAAAATTTATTACTAAGAAGGGTTCTAGCTTCATTGTTGCTTTATGGTTTCAATGTTTTGAATGGCTAGAAAAATTGATGTTGTAGTCCCTTTGCTACAGATACATGTATGTGGTTGTCAAATGATATATATATGCTCAGGAAAAAATTACGACTCTGCAATACATGGACTTTATATGAATGTTATTCAATACTTTAAAACCTTCATAGCTTAAGAAATCCTTGTAGTTGCAACTCTACCAAGCAAGTAATTGTGTTAGAAACGTAGTCTATTCTTTATTAGGCCTAATAAGAATGAAAGGATTGCTTAAGGATTGCTTAAGGCACTGTTCCAAACAGGTACATGTAGCTAATATTTTTGGTGTGTAATTGCTAGATTTTAAGTGTAATTGATTAACGTAGGGGCGCTTTGGGCCACAAGGTGAAAAAGGAGAGATTGGGGATAGAGGTCTACAGGGCCCAATGGTGAGTTAAGAAGGTTTGATGATTCGGTGCGCCCTCGTTACATCGGCATTCAGAATACCTCTGTTTAATGGGAAAGAAAAAAAATGCGATGTTTCAAGGGCGGACTGTTTTGTAAACGCCTTGATGCAACCTTGCATGAGATAGTGAACAGGTTTTAAGCACCATAAACTAAGTTGAGTGTATTTTAAAACCCGTTGTAAAATTAATTCTATTTTACATGGATACCATTTTATTTCTGATTTACGGACAGAATACATGTTTATTGGATTATCTGATTTAAAGACGGAATAAATGCATATTGATGTATCTTAATTAAAGCGGAGAATACAAATTACACATGATTTCTTTTCTGCTTGTATGATTTTATTTTGTCAAGGGATCTCAGTATTGATATAAGGATTTGAGTGTCACCATTATGATCACATAACACATATAATTTTATTTTTGGTTTTCATTATTTTAAAAGAGCCTGAAAAATTTAATAAATTTCACCAAAATGACTTTTTGGACACATTTAAATATTTTTCAAGGAAAATATTGGATAGGAAAATTGGAAGTGCATTGAGTAAACTGTACTATTTGATGCAGTGAATGTTTGATATGCATGCTAACCTGCATGATCTTTTTTGTTCTTCCAGGTTTTTCTTTGGTATTCTTTAAAAGCAGGGATCACTGATTAATTGGCTTAAGAATTATGAAATGTCTGCTCTAAGCTTATTATCGTTTGCAACTTTCAACACAATTATATCCATTTATACTTTTTTTTTATTATAACTGACGTGTATATGCTTTATTAATCTTATTATAATAATAAATCATTATGAGTTCATAAAAAGTTATATATAATTGAAATGTACTTGAAAGGAAAACTTCACGATTCTGTTTTTTTGTTGTTGATTTTCTAATTAAATTCATGCCTTTGGTAATTATGATTATCATTTTGATCTGTAAAAATAAAAGGAAAAGAGATATACATGTATTTATCTTATCCACATAATTGACGGATCTTTGTGAAAAAAACTCGCCGATTTTTCAGGGACCACCGGGTCCTCCTGGGCCATTGAACACAGTGAATGAAGGTGCATGCACATGTCAGAAAGGCGAAAAGGTAAGAAAGATAACCATGTGGATGTGCTCGATGAATTTTCTATTAATGTTTTTGAATCCCGTATTTGTTGCATTGTACGAAAAAAATCCCAGTGTGCATTTTATCATTTAGGGGGATAGGGGAAGAAGGGGCAAGCGAGGACCTAAAGGAATGCAGGTATTGTTTCTGCCATTTTCGTTTCCTTTTCACTATTGGCAAAAAAAAAAAAAAAAAAAAAAAAAAAATACGTAGCATGTGTAGGAAAAAAAATACTGATTTTTTTGCTATGGTCAAATTAAAAAAAAAATATATAATGATAATGTATGTTAATAATTCAGAGGGTATATTACTCTACACATTTGATAATTAGAAATCCTGTTTTTAAATAAATGATAAAGTTTAAACCTAGCTGCAGGAGATAATCAGAGCACATTTTGAGAATTTAGCCAATTGATTATAAATATCTTAATTGCAAGGTATAAAACAAGGTTGTAATGTGGTTTTATGTTTGTTGTCATAATATCTGTTGATTTATTGTTGTTGTTGTCATTGTGTGTGTCCCAATAGTTGTATTTTTGACTCTTGAAATGCTCTTGCTAATTGTTCATGGTTTTGCGTGGTCAGGGAATGCCCGGTCTAGACGCCCCTTGTCCTGTTGGTGAAAATGGTCTTCCATTACCCGGTTGTGGTATTCAGTATTACACAGAGGTAACAAGCATGCTCCATCTTACACATCCGTGCATGATGTTACCCAACCTTTATTTTCTTGTTTTGGAATCTTATTTTAATAGTTCTTTTAATTGCATGACAGGTATTTATTTTACGATTTTTTGCTAATAATGTTAGACGGACATGTTTTAAGTAACTCTTTGGACAAGACATACCGGAGATGTGTCGAATGAGCATGCACTGAAAAATATTTAGTGATGGCAATCCTTAAACAATGCACAAGCGCTCGTCTGCTTACTCTCAAAGTACTAGGGGTTGGTTTGTTATACCAGACGTGTTTGGTTTATCATAGGTCACTCCTATTCCTCAAAATTAAGTGAAAGAAGTGCAAGTCTGTCAAATTTAAATGGAAAAACGTCGCAAAGACATGCCTCCATCTTGTATGAATAAAGCTTTACTACATCATGAAAAGTAAGCAGGTGCTTGTGTGCGGCATCCTAAACAGTCGCATGTTTACTTGTCTTGGGCATACGTAATTTTCCCTGCTTTGGAATCACATTTTCAATTGCATAAGATTCTGAGTTTATTTGGTTATGGGTATTTATTGATATTATTGCCTGTAAAGAATATATATTTCCACTATAGGGAACACCTGGATATTCCTGTCCCGTGGGTCCAGATGGCATAGCTCGCTGCGGAAACACTGGGAATAACAGGGGATAGGTAACCAAAGGTAGATTTTTTTTTGTAAAGCTGATTTGAAAAATGGCCATAAACAAACTCTTTTTGAGTTGTTTTGACACAAGACACATTCTTTTCATCGGCCAAGAATAAGAACTGGGGTCAAAATTCTAGAAATGAAATTCATTATGAATGGAACTGAAAAAGATACTGTGTAGAAGGAAAAATAAACTCCAAAATCTAACAAACTACGGTTTCTTTTTGTAGATTTGTTTTTATTGTCTCTCAGCTTCCAAGCACGCTCATCTTTTCCACAGAAAACACTTTTTGAAGTCAAAATTCAGCGATACCAGGATATTCATGTTTTATTTAAAGACATCTATCGTAAATATTCAGCGTTCATCTTCATAACTTTGTATATGATTTTCATATAATAGTATTTTAGATTTTTCATTTTTCATTTGTGATTGATTGCAATAATACATGTATTATTCATTTTGTTATTTGTTGTATCTTGGATGTTTAATTGTCACATTCTTAATAACTGCTGTACATATATTTTACCAAAGAAACTCAAATATTCAGATTTCAATTTTAAAAAGTAATATGTTAGTACAGACTATAGTTTTAATATAAATATGCATCGTTTTCCATTTTTATGATATATATGGTTTTGTACAATGTGTATTCAGAGTAACGGAGATTAAAATATTTAATATACATTTGTGAATGATGGTTTTCTCACAGATGAATCATAGTCATATTTTAGCAGTTTTTTTTGCTATTCGAATTTCTAAATTGAAAAAAAAGATGCAACACTGCCTAATAAAGATTGTTATTTATACATCTGTAATCAATACGAGAGGAAATTAAGGATCTCAAGTTGCAGAAATTAAAAGTCTCGAAGAATTTTATGAATTCTTTTGTGGCAAATCAATTATTGATCTAATACAACTTAGACTATTATGAATGAATAGTGTTAATATTCTGATTTGTAATTACAGATAAAAAAAATTATGAGAAAAAAATATTGTTATATTTCAAAAATACTTCTTTTTGTTAAATGAATTGTAATTAATAAACTATTGTATATGTTTACATTAGTAAATAATACCACTTACATGTACTTTATTTTTTATTTGTACTCAAAGCTATTCTAACAAACTATTTACTATAGTTTTGCATATTTTATTATAGATGAGTATAGAACATAATTTAATACTTTAATTTACTATGAAATTACTCAAGAACTTTTTTGGATTAGATTAATTTAGAGTCTGCAAATTTTGGAAATATTCAAATACAGCGTAATATTTCCTTTTAATGTTAAAAAATCAAGTGTAATAATGGGAGAAAATGAAATAAAACAGATAAAATTAAAAACTTTAATATTTAGTAAAATATAATACTATAGTAAACTACAGAATTTTTTATAAAGGTAATGACAACGTATTGGTCTCTTTTATTCCACAAATTTACATTTGTCAGAAATTTTCATGTTTTGGCCTTGTGACAGCTTCTTGTCAAATCAAGCACAAATCTATGAGACCTTAAACAAAGAGGAATAAATTTACCAAAGATATAAACAATTCATGCAGAACTTATTTCAAAATGACATGCTTTTTTGGGGGGAAAAAAAGAAGAAGAAAAAAACAAGGAAAAAAAACGTGATGCCAGATTTATACAGTGAAGGGTTTTTATTTTATCCAGTCCTTATTTTAATGTATTAGAATTTTTTTACTGGTATTTCTTAAAATGAAAATGGTGAAGAAAACGAACAGCGATCATTCTCATAAATTTTGTAAGGAATACTAATGAACAACGGAAAAAACCCCAATATCCTCTGGAAACACGAGTGGTGGGATTAGGTACCTAGGGGGAGTAAGCATCCCATGTCGACTGGTCACGCTTGCATTGAGCCTTATGTATTTTTCAGTTAAACGGGGCAATCTGTAGTCAAAAGTAGTAAACACAATGGTATAACAATAGGTAATCGAGAGATGGCAGTCAACGACAAAAAATAGGTTTTATTTGCAAACAATGTCGCTATAACAGCCATAAAATTTGCGAATTGTTGACTGTTGAAAGCCTGTGATAGCAACATACTTTCAGTACCCTGCATTGGTTTAGAAGTTGTTCTTACTCTCAACATATTCTTGTGTACTAAATCAGCTAGAGTACATAAACAGCATGTGCAAGTGCCATCGAAATATTTATACTTAATTAAAGGAAGTTGACGATGGGAAAGATGAAGTCATCTTCTTTATCATATTATTTAGTTTGTTAGTTGGCCATTATCGTCTATCGTTAGTAAAACATTCGAAAATGTAACGAATGTGGCAGACTCTTCACGTGGTTATGTGGAGTCGACGCATGAATGAAAATAACTATTGAAGGATATTGCATGCTCTTTGAAATATTGTAATTTTATATTATCCTCAATCATGTTTAATATATTAGTATGAACAAGACAGAAAATTTACTCGAAATCTACTTGGGAAGGAAACTTGCTGTGGCCTTCAACTCAACATTTCGATACATCTAATGCCTAAGTAAAATTAAAAGTAATGCCACTAAACAAAATATCGTAAAACAAGCTAAACATTGTAATTTTTCAATTTCATATTGTTTGTTAACCTTTTTGCTAGCGCTCTCGAGCGCTAGCAACTACGTTAGTCTATATTTCTGGAATACGCATGCTCGACTTCACGGTCGGGCATTCTGGGAAAACTACTGTAGATAGACTGTGCGATAACAATTTCGTTTTGTCATACAAATATAGATATGATCAGAATTTACACTAGCCTTTCCTGTCTGATATGTGCGATATACATTTCTTACGTTAGAGACAGGCAATACCAGTCTAGATCCGGATTCTGATTTTTTTTTTAATTTATTGTCTAACCTACACATAAAAGTACAAGAAAAACTTAGGTCATATAATGCCAAGATTCTAGACATCTAGCTTTCCTCACAGTTATACCACCTTCCTGGATAATTTCGGCAAGCTCGGAAAAAAATCTTTTCAGAGTATGTCGGAAAGACATGTCAGTTTAGTTTTTATCATCTGAAAATACATATGATCTGAAGTTTCGTGTTTTGTTGTCTATCCTGCACGTAAATGAACAAAAAGTAACAGTTACTCGGGTCTTATAAAACGAAGACTGTTATTTCTAAAATTGTAATGAATACCTAGCTTTTCTAATCTACCTTCATTGATTTTTCCGGCAAGTTCGGAAAACCGCCGCAACCTCGGATATGTTTACCGAGCTTGCCGGAAAGTTCCGAGAAGATGCGATTGCTAAAAAACAGTACCACACTGGAATATTTTAAACTAGTGCTCATTGGTTCTACTGACCTTTTTTCACCTCCAAATTGAAATTACAGTAGATTACAGAATGCTTAAAGCACAGTTAGGAGTTATGCCATTGCCGACGTGAAGCCCACTCTTAGATTCACCATTCTGAATTATGACCCCCCCTCCCGACTCAACCCCCCAGTGCTCCAATTAATGTGCCTTTTTATTAATAATTAATCGATTCAGCAAATTTAACAAATGGTTCAGGTATCTTCTGTATTTTATTATGCTACAGCGCTAGCTCACCAATCTTTTTAAAAGATAAGCTTGTAATACATTACAAGGAACAAAACAGTCATTACCTCAACATAAGGATCATTATTTAGGAAGGGGGATGAATATTGGCTATTTCACTAAATATGTAATCAAATGTAAAATAATACAAACTGTATGCGGCGTTTAAACCTAGAAGAGCGTGCTAAAGCAATTAGTTTGGCGTCTTCAGGTTTGAAAGATTATGCATTCCTCTAAGGAAAAATTGTTTCAAATATATTAGCATAATTTTTTTTTACTATAGATAGCCACGGCATTAAGTAAGCACCACACCTCAATTGTTCCACAAAGTAGGGGCAACCGGAAGTTGGGTGGACTGGGTATGGACACCAAGGTACTTGATAGATATTGAGCGATATGATAATCAATCTCTGTATATTATTTGATTTTTAACTGGGAGACTGCTTCTGGTGCAACCACTATCGGTAGTCACCAACTTCATATATGGGCAAAAACAGTGCTCAGTGCACGTCAGAAATTGTTTTTTGGGGCAAGAAGATCATTTAAAGGTCTTGTTATGAACCAAGACATTTGTCAATTTTACTGTATCGGAAAAGATGGCATATTAGATATACTAAAACGAATTAGGCATATGTATGAATCTAAATATATCTATTATATCGTCCTTAAAAGAAGGCAATATGTATAGATATAAACTCGGGCGTGTTTTTTTAACGATAACCCCAACATGACGTCGGAATGCATATTTTTAAAACTCGAACATTTTTACAATGGATCAGTAGCGCACTGGTTTGTCTGACAGGTCCGAATTTTCTCATCCAAAGAGCTACAGTTCTGCAGCTATTATCAATTATGTGCAAAAAATCGAAATGAAATTATGTATACTATAGCCTACAATCATAAATGTTTAGAATTCTGAAAAAAATAATAGTCTGTTGATCAGCAACTGTCAATCAAATAGAAATATTTACTCAAAGTAAACATGTATGTCCAGTCTAAATGATCAGTTGAGACCAGTTAAGCACGACCAAAGACTAGTCATAATTAATGTATTGTGATGGAAATTACCTCTAAAACCTGTTACATACAGTAAGAGAATATGTATTACATGTAATTTGAAACCTGATAAATAACACACACGTTTAGAGTGAGAGTCAGGTAATACATATATAACAATCTATAAATAATGATGATATAGCACATTTACAGTGTCTATACTAGTACTGCGCAAATATTGCCAAATTACATTTGAAGGTAAAGTCAATTTTCTACCTTACTAATCTGGTAATACTAAACATTATGATTTATGTGTGTAATATTATTTTTTATGAATTAATGATTTCTATAAAAATGATAATCTTACATTATTTTATTTATGTTTAGTTTTTGTTATGGCCGTCTATGTTTATCTTTAAATAATTTATGTTATTATTTACTGCTGAAGAAGATGGACGAACAAGGCGTGCAAAATGCCTATTGTGCGACAAATAAGAAAGTCAAAAATTAAATCTCAATGCGACCAAATTTTCTTAGATATTTCATTTAATATTAATTAACGTTTACTTGATGTAAAATCTCGGCAATATGCAACAATCTCGCATAGATTGAAATCATTAGTCTATGAAATAACATACACACACCAAAGAGGTAAAAAATGATCATTTCTTCATGTTATAACACAATTCTTCCATATGAGTGTGTGTTCACTCCATTTTTTGAAAGATTATACTCAAACTATGGGTAAAAATATACAATTATTGGGTAATATAAACATGAGGGAATGACCCCCTATACCTTAAAAAAATATTTTCCCGAGAAATATTTGAAGTCCATTTATTCAAGGGTCATATCACAAGCATAATTTGAATGCCATCAATTCTCTTAGGCTGTACAGCGTAATGGTTAATGTCTTAGTCTCGAAAAACAAAATGCTACTCAGGATTTTTATTGCTTCAGGTCGAATTCTAAAAATACATTTTTTAAAAATCATAAAAGGATTTTTTCAAAAGAATTTTCCACAGAAAAGTTTTGTTTGTCAGAATTCCATACCTTTCAATAATAAGAAGTTAACGCTTAATACGAAATTCACAAACTGAATATAACTTTTATAAATTTGAAGCTATAGGCATTTTGCATGCCTCCTTAGTTTAAATATTTCCAATCGGGGAAAAACTTTTTAAAAAAATATGTCTTTTGATTTTTAGTTGACCCCTTCGTATATTTGAAATGGAGAAGTTGGTTTAGCAGCCACATACTTTTTGTTTTAATTTTACATTTTGTTATTGATGTCAAACCTACGAAAGCCGTATAGGCCAGGCCCATTTTTGAGAAGATAAAAAAATATAAATTACGTTATAACGAGGTATTTATCTTATAACGCGTTAGTACTCGTCACAAAGAGTTAGTAATAACAAGTTAGTAACTCGTTATAACGAGTTAGTTAAATTGTAATAACGAGTTAGTAATATCGTTAAAACGAGATAATTATCTCGTTATAACAAGTTAGTTATATCGAGTCAATGTCTTCCTTATCTCATTATATCGAGATAATTATCTCGCTATAGCGAGTTAGTTATCTTGTTATAACGTCTTAGTTATCTCATTATTAAGAATAAGAATTGACCTACAGCGTTAATATCTCTAAGTTAAGAATACCAGTACTGGAAATATACAGAGTCGATTCGCTCAGTTTGTTTGTAGTGTGCACTATAAATATTTTATGGAACAAAAAGCATAACAGTTTATTGTCTTATGCTTTTGATTAGTGTTCTATATTGAACAGAACGAATATAAAATATAGCTTGTTCATTAATTGTTTTCAACACAGTGATATTGTCATGCAACTGATGTGTAAAGGTGTCCGCCTTAATGTTACTTTACTTATCAAAATATTATTATTGACAGCAAGTCAGTTCAATACTCTATCATAATTTAACCCTAGTGCTAATTAAGTTTTCAACCATTTATCACATTTTCAACTTAAATTCGATTGATAAAATCCATTATATTCCTGTATTGCTTTTAAACTTTCCCGTAATAACGAGAAAACTATTCCGTTATAACGAGATAACCAACTCTTTATAACGAGATGATAACTGCATGGTTATAATGAAATAGATTTTATATCCTCTCAGAAATAAGCCTATCCAGCTTTCGTACAAACCTTCTATGATCGCTCAATATTTTTTGTCAATAAGCAATAATGCAGTTTTACGAGTGCAAAGAAAAAGAACGGTTACATTTATTATTTATTTAAGTGCATTATCTATTTGACAGAAAAAGATGAAACCATTTCCATTAATCACTTTCCTTCTTTTGCCTTTGATGGGAGTGACAAAAGTCTCGGGTTTGTTTTTAATTTTTTTAAAATTCGAACGTATACTTTTAGACATCACAATGTTGTTATTTTAATTTCTATTTGTTTACAATATAGACCAGTCTTTCGCTCTTTGTGGTGACCAGAAAGGCTTTATACGATGTGCCAATGGTACAAAGATACAGATTGTTTCTGCTAATTATGGTCGAACAGATCAGCATGTATGTCCCGGGAATAATACTAATACAAACACCTGTCGGTCAAAGACCTCTGAAATCAAAGTCAAATGGAACTGTAATGGATACAGAATGTGTCACCTACATGCCTCAAATAAAATCTTTGGAGATGAATGTCCAAATTACAGTAAATATTTAGAAATCACCTATCGGTGTGTTCAGGAGTCAAAAGCACTTTCAGAAGGTAAATGGAAAATTTGAAATCAAACATTCATATCGATCGATTATGTGATCACTAGTAAAGAAAGATAAAAAATATGTATTAAAGCTTCAACGTCAGAGCAATGATTCCCAAGACATAAACAGGATATATATTAAATCTAATTATCTTAATAAAATAAACACAACGAATATCATAAAATAGCAATTAATAAAATCAGTAAGGAATGAATTGAGTTTGCTTTTAGAAAAAAAAAATCATTTTTGATTTCTTTCTATAGGAAAATCCTTCATAGCTTTCCACGCATGTACTCATAGGACCCTACACTTTCATAGGAATACTCCAACCAACATTGTATATGACGGTGCTTATTTCAATAACGGGAGCGCATACGACACTCACTCCGGATTTTTCACTGCGCCATCTGACGGACTGTACACCTTTGCTTGGTCTAGTTTGGTAGGGGGACGAAAAATATTTAACTCTGAAATTTGCGTTAATAGTTATAGGAAAGGATTGCTAGGCTGTAACAATGAAGATAATCCAGGGCTTCAGTCTTGCTCTAATACTGTACCACTAATTTTGAAATCCGGCGACAGAGTTAATATTCGTTCTATTACAGGAAATAATTTGTTGCCGTTTTATTCAAGTTTTCAGGGATGGAAAATTTGACTTTTTTCTAGTCTTGTTTACTGATTATCACAAAATGTTTAAATAAAGAAAGAATAATTTTTCTTTCAATGTACTTCTGAAATATTTACAAATAAGAATGTGTTCAGAATTTGGTTCAGAAAAAATTATTCCTATCTATCATTTGGTGTGATTCAGATGCCCATTTTACTTAAACAATAAAATGCTTTCTTTGGCTGTTAGTATGGAATTAATGTTGCAGCTCTTGCAGAAAAAAATGCATAACCCGCGTAAGCTGGTTATGTAATTTTTTCTGCAATAGCTGCAATTTAATTTCCATACTAACAGCCAAAGAAAGACATTTTATTGTTTATATCGATATCTGTACAAATAATCATCTAATGAAGAATTAAGTAGATTAAATATTGTATTATTGACATGTACATCATTGTACGTTTCAATGATGGAAGAGCCACTGCTCAAATCTATACAGGTGATATCCTTAGTGGTGTTTACTGACTGATTAACAACAATGGTTTTCTTAAGAAATAAAGGAGTAAATATTCAGTGGACGTAAATATATAATAACCTACGACTAAGAATAATAAGAATGTCAGACACCTCGGCTCAACGAAACCTCGATCCATTGACATTTAACTGTAGGTCCAATGACACCTCGGCCCAAACACGTCGGCACAAGATTTAAGACAGGTCGACTTACATATAAGACACCTCGGTCCAAGCAAAATTTCATTAGGAAAAATATATTTCCCATTTGCGACTTAAATAAAATTTTGCTTGAAAAAGTACATGGATAAACGATCTTTTATGTATATATATATATATATATATATATATATATATATATATATATATATATATATATATATATATATATATATATATATATATATATATATATATATATATATATATATTAAAAAAAGACCTTCCACGAGTATGTTGACGATAATCAAGGAATGAGAAGACAATCATTGAAAATGGTAACTGATAAACAAACAAGATCTTTTGGAGTTTCAAGTGAGTGTCATATTGGTGACAATGAGGGGTTAATTACGAGCAGGCTTAATTGTGAGAAGGTAATTAAGAACACTTACGTCCAATGAATATTTTCTCCCTTTATATCAAACTAGTTCGAACCCGTCTAATGGTTGCAACCAGATATTGCAGAAAAAATTACATAACTCAGTAACTCTATCTATATATTTTTTTCCTGCAATAATAGCTGCAACTGCTAATTCTTTTATTTATCAAAACACGTAAAAATGAAGTCTATATACGTGTATATCTTTTCACAGATTATCAACCTATATCAGATGTTTCAGCACATCAGAGAAACAATGCAAATGATACGATAAAATTCTTTTTTTTTTCAATAGAAATTAAAAATCATAAGATTTAAAGAATTGCTAGTACATGTGTGTTGAAAAAGTTTTATTTAAATGTATATATAGCAAAAGGGCATTTTCGAGAAGCAAAAGATGTAAATTAAAGTCTGATCTAATTCAGTTGGAAAGTAAAACAATTATCTATCATTGAAATCCCTCTCCCCATATTTATAAATTTTTGAATTAAAAAATCGTTTAATCGTCAGAACAAAAAATAAATCAATAATATCAATTCAGACGCTGGGTTTATTTTTTTTCTATCATAAAAGTTTGATTGGGCCGAGGTGTCTTTTATATTTGTCGAGGTGTTAATAATCTTGGGCCGACCTGTCAGGGCCCAGGTGTCAGACGTGACGGGCCAAGTTGTTGTTGGGCCGAGGCGTCTGTCTACCAATAATACATAGAACCAATATGTCAAATTCAACCAAACTTTGCCACAAAGGATACTTTGGTGAGGGGAATTCAAGTTCGTTCAAATGAAGAGCCACACTCTTTTGTCGAGGAGGAGGGGGGATAATAGAGAAAACGTGAAGAATTGGTAAGGTCATTTAAAAGACTTTTTAAAGATCCAACTGGGCCTTAAGGATGACATTTACTCAGAAGACCAAAAAATTCAAACCATGCCCACAGGATAGGTTGAGAATACCACAGGGGGATAGGAATATAGGAACACGCAAGTCATATTTGATGCTGAAGTATCCCAGTGATGCGTAGATTCAAGTTCGGCTTTGTCATGACCCCTGAAAGCTAGGGTTGGACCACAATATTGGGTCAAATTTTTTCATATAAACAATGAGGGAAATTTTTTTAAAATAATCCTCTGAAGATCAGCAGGACATAATCTAAATGTCGTCGTTGTCGATGTATTTAAATGTCGTCGTTGTCCATGCATCTAAATGTCGTCCTTGTTGATGTCTCTAAATGTTGTCGTTGTCGAATTGAAGGCTACATCAAGAGTTTATTTTTTACATGTAGAATTTTTAAGACCAATTATGCTTCATAAGAAAATAAATTATAGGAATTACTGTCCATCGAAATTCCGACACATTGTTGAAAGACTACATAGATATTGTCTATGAAGAACGCAGAGTAGAGTTTAGTTACACTTTAGAGTACTTATGAGTAGAATCGGAATAATTTTTAGCAAAGTAAGTGGTAGATGACCAATCATAAGCATTTTTCAATGATGTCAGAAGCTGGTCATTATCAATAAACTTCCTTTTAAATCAATCCCATCGCTATTTTTTCTACAGCAAGAGAACCCTCAAAGACAGTTTGACTAAAATACTTCTGAAAATGAACCTTTAATCGGCAAAAGTGATCTTCTGCAATTTTAATTGTTAATTACATCGAAATTAACATTCAACAGTGCGACAAATTATGAAGCTTAGGAATTCTTTTGGCCATTCAATAGAGACTTTAAGAGTGTCGTTCTTTATGAAAGCTTCTCATTAGAATTCTTTCTACATTTTATGTTTTACAAAGAATGAATCCTCATAACACTGCTTTCTCGCCCCTTTTTAAATGCAGAATTTTACATTTTCAAATCAGAACATTGTTCTATTATAGCTAAAGTCTTAAAGCATAGTCTGTATAGATACTCATAAAAGATTTTTTGGGGAAAGACACTTTCAATATATACATTATATCGATTAAATAAAATCTTATACTTCACTGTAAAATTCTGGTTTCGCCATTACAGCTAGGTAGGTCATTGTATTATTTGAACGAGAAGGCGGAGCGTCTCTCAAGCGTGCGATTAGTGTGAATACATTAGCGTGTGTTCGAAGTGTACTAAGTTTTATGATTAACTGACACCTAAAAAACCTTTTTCATGCTAGAGACCGACAAAATATAAGCATACATTTTTAATTTGGCTGGCTTAACTTTGATTTCTTTTCTGCTTAACTTACGAGTCGTATTTGAAATGATTTACTAGAAATTCGTTAAATTATTTATATATTAAATACACAATGGAATTTGGAAACAGGCCGTAAAACGAAGGATACACTATTTTTCACACTTTAAAGAAACCCCCCCTTTTTTTTTTTTAAAAAAGAAATAATTAATCCATTTAAGCTTATTACGAACATAATTAGAAATTGTTCATGCATATATAATTTTGCAAAATCCGAGTGCTACAACAAATACACGTAGGCGGTTGAATTACGATATAAAACTACACTCGGTGTATAAAAAATAGATAGTTAAGAAAGTGAAAATTTAAACGTCAATTAAACGTCAGTTTAAAGTCAGTATCATAGCTGGTGGATAAAGAAACATCCGTGTCAGTGTACTTTGTACAGTCCAAATTGCATTGCTTAAAAAAATCCTGTTTATTCATGCCAGACAAGTTAATATGATCTTCCTCATTTCGGAATTCATTAATTGTCGAAATCCACTCCTGTACTTTTTGATTTTAACAAACTCTCTCCCTGTAGTAAGATAAATAATAAATCACTCTGAGGTATTTTTAACGCCCTTTTTCATTCGACTGATTTTTTTTTACTTATATCTAGATCGGACATGTGAAAGGGTCATACGAATGCATGTTCTTGCTTTTAAACATTATGCTTTAAAAATACCTGCGAACATGGACTTTCTTACACATGATCTAAAAAACAAAAAACAAAAAAAAAAAAAAAAAAAAAAAAAAAAAAAATTGTGAAATTAATTTTGTGCCGATGTTAGAAGTTATATTATTTGCTTCAGATTAAACCTGAAGCTTTCTTCTATTCAAATTAGGGGTGCTTTTTGTGCAAATGTATTCATCAAATGACTTTTCATCCGATACACAGGTTTTTTGAGCGCTCCGTACTTCAATTTCTTTCCATGAAGGTTTCTTCTATTGGAAGTATGCATTTGTGCACTTTTTACAAACAATTTATTTTTCGAAAGATATGATGAATTGGTGTTTTTTCAAATAACGGACTATAAAATTAATGACAGTTTTGACTGAAAAAAATCTTTCATATCTTCCAAGGCAACGAACGGAGCACCGATGTATATTTTCAGGAACAAGGGCAAATGAATCATATATACCCACAGTAATTTGAATTTTAAAATTCTGTATTTATGAGACACAAGCAGTAAGTGCAAGCTTTATGCTACAGGACTTCAATATAAATTGATATATACCCCCCCCCCCCCAAAAAAAAAAATCAAACAAAATCGACTGAATATATTAACACATCTTAATCATAATAAAGTTTTCTCCCAGAATTTTAATTACTCATTTGAAATATGATTTGACCATCGATAGCTCGCAGACACTAGACACTATATGTTGCGTAGGTGTGCTAAAAGCGTGGAAGTGAATAGATTTGAGTCACGTGTTCAGTGCTTTGTTATTCATGAGATCAAAGACGGGTTGAAATTTGTAAATAGGGTGCCTTTACTATGGAGACAAGCACCCGTGATTTTGCACCTTTTTGCAAAATAACAAATGAGCGCAAGATTGCTTCAATTTCTTTCATGAATGTAAATGACTAGTATAGCTCTTTACATTGACCGTATTTACGACAACTTGAAACATCCATGCGCTCATATAAAAAATGGGCTTGCAAAATGGAGGTGTGGCCTAAAGTCTATGAGAAATCGATGTAAACAGCATACCCCTGCTATATTAATCAC